ATAAAACATTTATCAGTTTTGGGCTAACCCCTTACACAGATGAAGTCCATCCCGCAGACTCCATCTCTTATCTAGAGCTCCACATTCTTGGAGCAGCTGCGTATTACCTAGTCATAACAAAATGAGGTGGCTCAACGTGTGTGTATGTTGTATCCGTGATGCGTAACTAAAACATTCATTCAGACATAATTCTTACACAAGATTAAAACAAGAAAACAATTGGTGTCATGGCTTACTGCTACCCTTGAAACAGAGCAGACTAGAGCAGACTTTGAATCTTACTAAACTACGTTACTAACACATTGAAGTCTAACACATTAAAGTCTAATAATTATCTGATTTATTAATTTCTAACACAGTAATGTAAAAACTGTATTCAGTCCTGGAACTGGATAAACTCAAAAGTAGGCTAGATGTGTTGATAGCTGGCCCTGTATAACATAAGCCCCTTGAATGCAGGCTAAAACATTTTAAGGCGTACAATGAAAAGTCTAAGATCTTCAGTATGATGTGAGTATGTCTGACCTACTTTCCTCTCCAGGCTGGTTGGTATGAGATCTAAGCCACAGTGGAAGTTTGGGTGCAATTCATTCGTTCACTCTGCTGCATTCTATATGTTTAATGGAATAAGGACTTGAGATCCCTCTTATTTTTGCAGGCCCCACTCCTCTTTGGTGCACAAAGACACATGCACACACAAACACACACACACATTCCTGCTCACTGTCAGGGCAAACTGTGCAAACACACCCTGCTCACAGCCCTGTGATAGTGTGTCTTTATGTGCACGCATGTGTGCTTACTGTGGCTTGCCAAACTGTAAACAAGCAGTATTGTCTAATGTCTGTGTGTGACTCAGTGTGCCTTTTGTGGGTTTGTTTGAGTTTGTGTGTGCGTGTGCATCTGTGTTTTAGTATGAGGGAGAGGGAGCTTGAGTGAGACAGAGACAAAGAGAGCATTTCTCTTTACCCTGGAGCTTGGCTAAATCCCAAATGAAAGGCTTTGGATATGATGGGGCAGCTCACTCCAGCCTTCATCAGTCAGTCACACCAAAGTTGCTTGCCTGGCTCACAGGGTGGGCTTCAGTCAGTTGCCTTTATTTGGTATATGTGTGTGTGTGTGTGTGTTTGTGCAGCGTGCAACACTTTTAAGTGGTAACGCACCCGTGTGAAAAGGAGCTTTGGCAATGCATGCACACTTCTGTGCAGTGCAGACCTCCATCCACATCTGCATGAATAAATCTACAGTATGTATAGGCTTCATGAAAACACTTAGGACTGGTGTTGCGCTTTAAATAAAGGTTTATGTTTAGTAAAATGCCTGTGGGCTTATCAATGGATCTGTTGTAGTCTTAGCTGTTATTGTGGATACTTCTGCATGCTATTTAGTAGAATGAGGGAATGTATAATCTAAAAAATATCTGTTATAATATCTGCATCCTGTATTCATGTATCTTGTCTTTGAATGTGAAGCTCTCCTACAGTAACAGAAGGAACACTGGTTCACTTTAACACTAACAGATACAATGTAGGAATCTTGGGTGCTGGGTGGAGGGTTTGCCTTTGTTTAGAGAAGTGAATGGAAACATACTACATGTGGTGTTTGTTTAGGCTACACGTTTGCACATAGCACAACAGAACATGGCCCACTTCTCTAAGGACACAGGGTTTTATAGCTCATAGAAGACAGAAAATAAAAAGGCTTTTACTCAGCCTGCTCCTGGTAGTAACAACTACTGCGGGGCTGAAGAGATGCAATGCAATGTAGATGATCTGTGAAAGCCTCACCAAAACGTTGTTTCAGATATCAGTGTCCTGTGAGCTTGCCAAAAGCCCCCAGTGGACTGTGTGAAAAATTAGTTGTGGCCTATGTCAACCTGATATGCCAAGGGATATAATTATTCTTCAAGACTATTTTCTTCATTATGTCCTAGCAGTTATAAAAATAGGCTTCCATCAGATTTTTTATATGTTGGAGTGACTTTGTACCAGTGAAAGTTGTGTCCATTACTGCCTGACATTCCTCACCTAGTTTTGTTTTAGGCTTCCTTGAGCTTTGTCTTTTTAACATAGACTTGCTACATCACACCTCGTTATCCTCATGACCTACTTATTCTCTATTCACACCAAAGACATAGCACAGGAGAAAACAGCTTTTGTCATTGTTGTGCATGGATCTTTCCAAGTTTTCCACCTGGGACCATGAGTCTGCTCATGACCAGGGATAGAGCAATGTCACCCGTGTATCAGAGGGTGAATCAAGGTTAATAGATGAGTCTCAATAAGAGTTACTCTGCATTTATCATATGCATAATCTCATGGTCAGCCCTCCATTGCTGTATGGTTATCCAAGTAACACAAATATCCTGTGTACAACCAGTATTACAATTAATACCCTGTGTAGGACATTTGCTGACTCAAACAGCAACAGTGCATGCAAGTGAAGGTGAAGCCACGTGTGTGGATCACCATTATGTACAGTATGTGGTATAACTCATTCACTTACTGCGATTGTGTCATTTTGTTCTTTCTCTCTCATGCTTTGTCTCTATTTCTTTCCCAACAAGACCCTTTGGTGGTGTGCGTAGGCACACCATGGCCCAGACCCTCCAGATGGCGATACCAAACTTTGGCAACAATGTTTTAGAGTGTCTGAATGAGCAGCGGCTGCAGGGCCTCTACTGTGATGTCTCTGTGGTGGTCAAGGGCCATGCCTTCAAGGTACCGATGAGATCGAAAGTCATTATTTTTTGCATAATGGAAATTACACTTAGACTGAAAGTCATGGTTACATTTGGAGAAGTTGAGGCCTGGGTGTAAACAATTAGTCCTGTGGCTCCTTGGAAGTCATGTTGCACAGCGAATTGAAGACCATGTTGGGTAATACTATATTATTGCACAGTGAATGCTGTTATATGTTCACAGTTTGCAGATTTTTAGAGCAGTACACTAGGTGATTTTGATGACTTGGTCCTCTGTAGATGAACACTATTATTATTATTATTATTATTCAAATCACTTGTTGTATTCTTTTATTTTGAATGAGAGTGTGCACACTGGACCCCCTTTAATAGCATGTTAAAGAAAACATTTTTCTTTGAAATTTTCCTTCACTTGTTTGCTAGTTGTACTTTGCAGTTAATGTAATTTGTGCTGTTTTTCTTACATATGTTTTCTAACCTCTATCACTATTCTAATGGTATTTAAAAATTCAGGTCACAAAATCTTAATGACCCCACCGACATCAGTCTGAGTATGTCGTTTCCAGAACTACTGAAGAACTGCAAATCAGTATTTTATTATTATATAAAATAAATACACATGAACTAAACAGTTACTTGCTTTATATCTTAATATTCATTACTTACTTTAATTCATAATTTGGTCAAATTTAATCAACATTACATTTTGGCCATGAATGGATTTATTTGAAAGGTGTAGCTTATTATGTTAAATAACAAAAGGTTTTATTTCACTTTATGAGCTAAGTGCTGACACTAAGCAAAAAAAATTATTTAAAAAGTTTAGTTTTACTTCTTGGTACCAAACTTCACTTATGGTATTGGATGTTTGGATGATATTTAGCCCTAAGCAAGTCACTGTATTTGTCTATAAGCATCTTTGACCTGAGGTGTTTCATTGGCTGAACGTTTTTGGTTTGATCTCAGCATCAGCCTTGAACGCTTTGTTGACATCACCTTGAGCAAAACCTCAAATTCAGACATTCTTTCTTATTGTAAATTATTGATTGAGATAGAAGTTTGTACTTAAAATCTTATTTCACATTCTATATGAACATTGCTCTAATGGGACACATTTAGGACACATTACTGATCTTTTCTTTTGTTCCTTAGGCTCATCGAGCTGTTCTGGCTGCTAGCAGTTCTTATTTCCGGGACCTTTTCAGCAGCAGCAGTAATGGTGGAGGTGGTAGCAGCAATGAAACGACCCCTACCGTAGTGGAGCTCCCACCAGCTGTGCAACCCCAGAGCTTCCAGCAGATTTTGGCTTTCTGCTACACAGGCCGCCTCAGCATGACGGTGGGGGACCAGTTTCTCCTCATGTATACTGCAGGCTTCCTGCAGATTCAACAGATCATGGAAAAAGGCACTGAATTCTTTCTAAAGGTAAAGCTATAATAGTTTCCTGTAGAAACTTGTCAAAACACCATAGCTGGGACTCATTACACGGAGTCCGATAAATACACAAACCAAATGCCATCACACCAGTGGCAGAGATCTCAAACCAAACTAAAACTATTCTACCCAAGTTACTGTTGGGGTTAACTGGGATTAGTTTTTTGTGACACATTGTTGGCTGATGGACAGGCAGACTGACCATCCTTCAGCACGGCCACTAGCATGGCAAAACCAAAAGAGCCAGTACATATCTGTTGGTTCATCATGTGTGCTGACACAAAGTTGATGTATTCATTCATTTCTAGGTCTCCTCCCCCAGCTGTGACTCCCAGGGCCTTCATGCAGAGGAGGCCCCACCTTCTGAGCCCCAGAGCCCTGTAATGCAGACAAATAACAGTGCAGTCCGGCCTGCCTCCTCCCTGACACCGCTCCCTCTGGTATCGCGAGTGAAGACAGAGCAGCCAGCTAGCCAGCCGGAAGCAGCCGCTCCCCATTCCG